TATATGGACTTAACCTTGAAAGAAGAATATTGGACAAAATTTTATATGAAGTTGATAGCAGTGATATCCCCCGATAATTACTACAGTCAGTTTTATCACCCTTCTTGTGAACTGGTACAATAATAGACTCTTTCCACTGATCAGGCAATTTTTCCTTATGCCAAATAGAAGTAATTAGATTGTGGATCTTAGAATGTAATATTTCGCCTCCTGCTTGAATAAGTTCTGCTGGAATCTGATCACTACCTGGCAATTTATACCGTTTCAATTTTGCAATAGCACTTTCAACCTCAAAAGGGCTAGGATCAGTTATTAACGGCTCAGCTGTATCAATTTCTGTCTGCCTAACATCACCGACCCTATGTACATTCAATAACTGCGAGAAGTAGTTCCTCCACCTATTCAGAATGTTGTGGGAATCTGCAAGCAGATCACCATTCTCATCCTTCACTAAGTTACTGCTGGGCTGGTAACCCCTTTTAAAGTCACTTATTCCTTTATACAGGTCTCTAATATTCTTGTTCTTACTGTTCACTGCAAGCTCATCAATTTTTTCTTTCAGATATTCCCTCTTTTTATTCCTGACTCTTATAAACCCTCAGTCGGACAGCGGAAAACGCACCTCGCTTCCTTGTTGCGTAATTGCTGTGTTTACAGAGGCATTGCTGGGCAATGCTGCTGAGAGATGTTTACTGCAACTCTGCATGGCAACCAGTGCACTTTGGCTTGGCACGGCACGGAGAAACACCGCCTTCCTTACTGTTGCATAACCTCGTTCCATATCCTGTTGCCCAACAGTGGTTTCACATGTCACAATATCTTTCTCCTGCCAGGAATTGAACCCCAGTTCCTTGGTCACCCATCCTATAGCCTAGTTGCTATACTGACAGAGCTCTCCTTTCCCTTTGCCATTAAAGGACCCTAAAATGTGCATAACTGCATTCTTATTCTTTCTGATAGAGTCATTAGTTGATCATTCTATTTTTTATTAGCTGATGCTACATAATCTTAGCAGTTGGCACAGCATAGCCATGGAATAACAATAAACAGCAGAGTTAGTTGTGCATGCATTTGTATACTAGAGAGTTTCAAGTTTTTATTTTAGATTATATGCCGATAGTTTATATGTCTCATTTTATTTGGATTAATTCTGCAGGATGTGAAATTATGTAAGTAAACACTTGTTTTTAAAACTCAGAACTGGTATTGGTAAAGAGGTTGTCAGTCATTCTTTAAATGTTTTGGTTCTGTGAGAGAGAAATCATTTTACACTAATTTCTTCACTGTTTGCAGACAAATAGTGTTGGAAGCCCTACAGCAACTTGTAAAGCTAACTCACCCAGAACTGACCAATGGCAAAGATGATATGGAAAATGGTGATGATAAAAAAGAATTAGATGATGGTCATTCTAGTTCCATCAGTGAAAATACAAAAAAAGAACCTCAGAAGAATGGTGAAAGTGAGAAAATTAAATTGAATGGAACACATCCATCCACTCCGGATGCAAACAGCCCAAAGAATTCTGCATCCACTAACTCAGAAGGAAGAAACAAAGACTCTTCCCTCATTGATTCAGATTCGTACTTGACTCCAAATCCAGTTTTGGAAACTCACAATTATGCCAAAATCCCACTTATAGCACCAGCAGATTCTAATAACACTTCATTAGCCAAGGCAACAAGTTCTGAGAACAGGTAATGTGCAATTCTCAAAGTTCACAGGTGTCAGTATTATTAGTTTCATTGAGCACCTATGCAGTTTAAGAAAATCAGAAGAGCAGTGTATTTCTATATAGTTGGCAGACAGATATTACAGTTATAAATTAATACAGCAGGACAGAGTGGGTTAGCACAGCAATAATACATCCAAATTACATTAGGGAGGTGAATCTGCTGTTCTGACAGCTTTCTTATATATTGTCATGTATGAGGGGTTTGTGTGACAAATAATGGGTTCTGGATTTGATGATTGGCTTTGTTGGCATTTCTTTACAATCACAATGAATGACCTACAACTTGCTCCAATCCTTACCAAACTACAAGCATCTTCTCTTTCACTGTGATGAGTGATGAACAACGAATGACTGCTCAGACATTGAACTCCATTGCAAATGAATTACGGCTCTTTTATAACTTCCAGGCAGTCCAAATGTAGGTCACCATCTCAGATGGTTCCTCTGTTACTCTGTGTTATCCATTGCAACATGTACTTCCGTTTTTGTTGCTATTCCAGCTTTCAGGCAGTGTTTACTGAAGTGTTGCCTAGCAAATGGTCGTATTCCATCAGAATATTTTCTCAGTCTCTACAGCCAAATACCAGTGAAATATCCCAAAGGGCAGCTGCATGCTCATCCTTCCTGATAGTCATTCCACACCAGATCAACAAGTGCACAGTGGCAACAGAATTCTATATTTTAATAAATAGCCTGCTTTTAGGGTGTTATAAATAAAATCACAAACTGCTGTGCCCAATAAGCCAGCTGTTTTGAAGCTGTAGAATACTGAAGCCGGTGGGATGTTGGTTGTTATTCATGTGGTAGTAGTATCAGTATATGTAGAAAGATGCAGTGAAACCTCACTAATTTGGGAAACGGTTTTTTTTTTTCCTTTGTTCATTACAACCTTAATGATCACATTTACATGATCAGCGATCACAAACTGCCACATGTAGTGCTAACAGAGATGATGGTACATACATATAGTTCTCATGTCAAACATCAAGACCATTTTAAAAGTGATTTAAAGTCAAAGTATTCTAAATATGGAGAACACCGTCTCAGTGATACTAAGTTTATTTTATGATGTGCTATCTAAGTTTCAAAATAAATTTGTATTGCTTAAAAAGACATATGAAGTCCATTTTAAAACTTCCCTGAACATATTTTCAGTAACACTTTTGTAGTTTGGACTTTCACTCATTTGGACAAGGGTTCACTTCCAGTTAGTCTGAATTAGTGAGGTCGTATTTTAACCTCCAAAACTGGTATATGTATCCCTACGAAACTCGGTTCATATGGAGTGTATATAAGACTGCCTAATGGTATAGTAAAAATTTTTGTGTCCTGAATTTTTCAAAATATAAACAAAGAAAGCTTCATGAATTTTCACTGAAAACATTCAGCTCCCATCCATGTGAAACTTACTGGGTAAGGTTCTTATACACAGTGTACATTTCAGTCGTGCCCCCAATCTGTGTCTGAGCTGTGCACATTTTGAAGAGCAGAAATTTCAGTGTTGTGAATAGAAGGGACATTTTGAGATGGTTGTAAGACAAAGGGAAATTCCATAGCTTTTTCTTACATAAATGCTATATTTTATACAGATTTGTTAAATAACTATGAAATCAATATCCATACTGGCAACCTATAATTTTTGGTATTGTAAAATTTCTACTGAATTTTGCGCCTTCAGGCTAGTGAAAATGAAGTCTTGCTTGAATGTTCAGTTGAAATGACATGGTAATTATACAAGGAATGTGTTGATGTGTCTTAATATCAAACCTGAAATATACATCTGCTGCAGTAGAGCCTCTGTATTGTGGATCTGTAGCAGTTACCTTCACATCATCATCATCATCAGTAATCTGTCAGACGACAGGTCTACAGTCTCTTCCAAAACAATTCCTCCACTTATTGCGATCTAGAGCTTTCTCCTTCAAATGATAGTATCCTTTTCTGTCCCTAAGGTCATCCAGCATCTTCTTACATCTTCTTCCTCGTCTTCTTGTCACTTCTATCCTCCCCTCTATCTTTCCTGCAATAACTTCTTTTAGAAGGCAGTTTCTCCATAAAACATGACCAATCCAATTAGCCTTCTGTTTTCTTATTTCATGTAGGATATTCCTCTGCTCACTGACTCTAATTAACACTTCTTCATTTCTCACATAATCGGTCCAACTGATCTTCTCCATCCTTCTCCAACACCACATTTTGAAGCTTGCCAGATGTTTCTGATCTACTGCCATAAGTGTCCATGTTTCAGCCCCATACAGAGCTATGCTCCAAATGTAGCATTTCACTAGTTTCTTCCTCAAATTTAAGTCCAATTTGCCGGTGAAAAGATTCTTCTTGCTAAATGCGGCTTTTGCCATGGCAATCCTGGATTTAATTTCACTAGTACACCTTCCATCATCTGTTAACAAGCTACCCAAATATTTAAAACATTTCACATTCTCCAGTTGTTTTTGGTCTATCTTTATTGTGACTGGGGTTGGTTGTCTCGAAATTTTCATTACTTTTGTTTTCTCCACATTCATTTCCATGCCATAGCACCTTCCAATTTCAATTAGTCTATCAATCATGCCCTGTAGCACAGTTTCTTCCTTAGCCATTAACACAAGGTCATCTGCATATTTCACAGTTTGAATAATTTGCCCTCCTACTTTGAAGTCTCCGAGCCCATCCAGAGCTTCCTTGGTAAGGCATTCGCTGTACAAGTTGAACAGAATTGGTGATAAACAGCATCCTTGTCGAACTCCTCTTCCAATCTGCACACTTCTTGTCTCCCCTCTGTCCAGTCATACTCTAACTTTCTGATCCATGTACAATTTGCTAATCAATCTTCTTACACGCCAATCGATACCTGTTTCCTTTAGGATCTGCATTAATTTGGTCCAGTTTACACGGTCAAATGCCTTCTGCCAGTCTATGAAGCAAACACACAGTTCTTCATCTATCTCCAAAGTTCATTCTGCTATAATTCTCATCATCCCAATTGCATCCCTGGTTCCTTTTCCTCTTCTAAATCCAAACTGATCTTCTCCAAGTATATCCTCTATTTTCCTTTCAATTCTTCTTTTAAGTATCTTTGCTATTTTTACATGAAAAAGATCTTTCTTTGTGACCAAATATAGTTTTGTACATTTACTTAAGCTTTGTGCAGAGAACAACACTTTGTGTTTGCTGAATTTATTTCTTTGGAGATCTTATATTTTTTGATTGGTGACTGGTTCATTATCTTGATATATGCTGCTTTTCAACATTTCAACTTTGCTTTAGAATATGCAATTAGGAACTTCCAGGAAAACCAGGTGGGACTGAAATTAAATGGGATACATCAGCTACTGGTCTATGCTGATGATGTGAATCTAGTGGGAGATAACATAGATACCACAAAGAGAAACACAGACACTTTAATTGACTCTAGGTAAGGAGGTTGGTCTGGAAGTAAACTAAGTGTATGTTGCTCTCTCATCACCAGAATGTAGGGCAGAGTCATGACATAAAGATAGGTAACAGATTCTTTGAAAATGTGGTCAGATGAGATATTTGGGAACAATAGTAACAAATCAAAATTTGATTCAGAAGGAAATTAAAAGGCGATTGAGTTCGGATAATGCTTGCTACCATTCAATCCAGAACCTTTTATCTTCTCATCTGCTGTCTGAAAACATAAAGATTAAAACTTGGTCTCTTGACTTTAAAGGAGGAATTTAGATTGAAGGTTATCCATATTATCAAAGTACACATCAATAATGCAACAGTTTTAATACTTTATGTTGTTAAAATTATTAAAATGTCAGTAGGACACTAAAAGTATATTTTATACATTAAAAGTGATTAAGTATATGTTAAAANATATGTATTATAATAATGTATTAATGTATAATAATGTATTAATGCAGTTTTTGACAGACCACTGTTATTGCCTCATTCTTATGTTCAAATATTCTCCTAAGCACCTTGCTTACAAACACCCTTCACCTATGTTATTCCCTTATTGTGAAGGAACAAACTTCATACCCACACAAAACAAAAGGCACAATTATAGTGTCAGAGACTCCCACAGTGAAGCAAGAGCTACCCAATCAGCACTCTGCACCACCAGATTCGACATCCCACAACAGTTTTGTACATTTTAATCTCTACATTTTTAGAAGGAATGTGGGGTACAAAAATTTGGAGCTGAATGATAATTATCANTTTATATTATTTATATTGCATTATTAACGTGTACTTTAATAATAAGGATAATGCCTCAGTGCCACAGAATGCTAAAATATAATATTAGATTGAGGATGTTTGAGGATAGGGTGCTGAGGAGAATATTTGGACCGAAGAGAGTTAATATGGACATTGATGGGAGGATAATACGAAACTAGATCGCAAGAAGCAAGATATGAAGGTGTAGTCTAGATTAAACTGTAGCCTTGTATTTTCCAGTGATAGGCTTTTGTTAATGTAATTAGGAGGTTGGTCTAGAAATAAATGCAAAGAAAATGAAGTATATTAAGTTTGTCATCAGAATTGGAGACAGAACTACAATATAAAGAAAGCTGATACATGCTTTGACACTGTGCCAAAGTTGATATATTCTGAGATTGACATGAATCAGAATTGTACTCACAAGGAAACTTAAGCAGATTAAATTTGTGGAGTGTGTATTATAATACACACTCCACAGATAATATGATGTAAAATTAAGTTATATTAATTTTTAAGCTAAAATTGCCTGTACTTATGTATGTAACCTTTTGACATGTTCTGTATCCAAAGGTACTAACCTGCTTAGGATTTATAGAATGTAAATAAATTCAATTCAATTCAATTCAATAAGGAGCTTCATAATTTGAACTCCTTAACAAATATTATTAGGAGCCAAAGAAGATGAGATGGACAGGGCATGTAACACACATGTTAGAGCAGAGAGATGCCTACAGAGTTTTGGTAGGAAAACCTGACCGCTTACATGACCTATGCATAAATGGGAGTAAGATATTGAGATTAATCTTACAAAAATTGGATGAGAGGGTGTGGGCTGGATTCATCTGGCCCAGGATAAGGTCTGGTAATGGTAAGCTATTTTGAATGTGGTAATGAATGTTGAGGTTCCATAAAATATTGAGAACTTTCTGATTAGCTGAGCAACTGTTAGCTTCTCAAGAAGGACTTTACTCCATGGAGTTACTTGTTTGGTTGATTAATTAGTGAGATAATGACTCTTTGGTTTCCATAAAAGGAAAGTATTTCTCTTGACTAGTTGAGTAACTATCAGCTTTTAAAGGAAAACACTGCACTGTAGAATTAGTAAGTAAGAAGCAGAAATTCACCTTGTTTACTAAATGGAGTAATTGTTATGTAGTGAGAACTTATTTCTGTATCGTGTTTGAGTAGAAATGTGGAGGATCTGCAAGAAAAACCAGTGGTGGCAGTGGCTGCAGCAACAGCAGCAGCATCGGGTGCAACGCTGTGTCCTCCCGACTACTCCACTCCTCTTACTATACAGACATCTCCAGCTCCTAGCAGTTCTAGTACTGATACTTCATCGGAAGTGGGTTCCGCATTCAATTCTCCAACTCAGGGTTTGTAGCAGTCTTTCTTTTCATGCCTTATTTTTGTGTGTCTTGAATCCCCCTTATAAAACAAGTCCAGGCAATACCTTATGATGCCCACTTTTCTTAAAAAGCTTAAATCTGTATGTTGATGGTATCTAGAACTGTGAATTAAGTGTTACGTAATTTAGTGATTGATTTCTGTGAATAATATTTTACTGCAAATTTTTTAGGTATAATATTGTATTTCCACATCTTGTTACACTGATGCATCACTTTACACACTTCCATCTTTAATGCATCTATTTACAGTCTATTTAAATTGCTACATGTTTCAGCCCCATGTAGCCATCAGGCAACTGTTCAGTTCTTCAAATTGCTACACTTTATTAGTCTTAAGTTAAATTATTCCTTTGTTATTGCATTTTTATCATTCACATTAAAATACGTTCGCTTGAGAACATCACTCTTTTTCTTTTCTTGCACCACCTTCTTGTGGTGTCCATGTGTTTTGTCTTGTTTTGTTTAGCAGTATGAATATTGGTGTGGTGGTGTTAACAGTGAAAACACCACACTGATATTATTGTCAATAAAGTGACATGCACTGGTCTAGATCAACTGCATGGGAATATGCACACAAATGGAGCGCATAAATACACATAAATATAATAACACCACTCCACACAACTTAGCTCCCAGTGACCTTCATTTGTTTGAATCATTGAAGGAGTATGTAGGAGGACAGAAATTTCAAACGTGAATTGAAACGTGGTATCCCAAATGGTCTATGCAGTCAGGATAGAACCTTTTATGCTGCTGGCACCAGTAACTTGCTGGGACAATGGATAAAATGTATTAGTGTAAAGAGAGGATATCTTGAAAAGGATTGAGAGTTTGGGGATTCTGGGATGTATAGTCTTTTTGTAAAAAAGAATTAAGAATAACTTACCTGAAAAGTAATGTGTTTAACAAATGTAAGGAAATTTGAAAACTGCTGTAATTTTGAACTCTCAAATGAGTAATTAAAAGTAGAGAATCAAAAATATTTTCCAACGGAAGTGTCGAGGCCACAAGAGTGTAGTAAAGGGATATTCTGATGAGGTGACAGAAGAGTGCTGAGCAAGCTGTTGTGAATTACTGTTGAATGTGTAGAAATGCATTAGAATTAAAATGTTGTAGCACATTCTGACTTACATCATACTACACTGGCTGAGCAATGCTGATATAGTGGCAATAATATGAAACATGACTCATTTGATTAAGTTGGTAAGATTGCAGTGATGCACGTCTGATAGGTGATATGATAATGCATTATAGGAATGAAGGAATTTTTCAGCTATCCAGAACAATCACTTGGCTTTTTGCATACTCTCTGTGATGCACAGTAGTGTAGGGTATTTGGGCAAGCCATCCTGTACTTTTTAATTCTGTCACGTTGGAAATAGCACACAAAATAATGCTTACTGGACTGTGGGTCAGGAGTTTTCCCAGGTTTTGAGCATGAGGTAGGAAGTGGTGTAGTGAGAGAAATTACAGTTGTAGGACTGGGTGGAATGAAAGGTTGATTATAAGTTCCAGTTTGCCTTTCACACCATTTGTAAATACTTGTGTCACAGACATGTGTGTACACATTGAAGGCTGTCTGTGGTGGACAGGTGTAAGCGAATATTATGCCATATGTGGAGTTACATGTATAATACCTTTTACAGTCTGTAAGGTTAGGCATTCTTATGCCAGTAGTACATGGTATATTGGTTGGAGGGCTCCACTGTGGATGAAGTAGGCCTGTTGAAAATCTGTTGATACTTGGGGAGGAACTGTCCGTCGTGCTGATGTATTGGATTTGGTTTGTTGCTGTGTTCACTGGAGTAACAGTGGTGACTGGTTTCTTGTGAATTCCCTGTAACAGAAGTTTGTAACTGGTTTTTCATTTGTGCACATATTATGAACATGAAACATCTTTAGAACAGTAATAAAATGCCCTGATTTCCACCATTTGAACTTATTTAACACTTCTTGTGCCATGTATATGCTGTTATAGAAACTGTTAAGCAGTACAAGACTCTAAACCAATATGAATAACATGAAGTGTAATAAAACTTTCAATTTTCATTCAGACGATACTCAGTTCAAATGTCAGCAGGAGTACTGGTTATTTTGACTGAAATTTTAAACAGTTTCCTTCACCTTTCCAGGTGAATCATCACCTTCCAGATCCTGACATACTCAAAATTCAATATATCTTCCTTTCTTATTTCAAAGTTGAAACATGATCATTACATAATACAAACAAACTCACACAGCTGGCTCTGAAGTTTAAAACCAATATAATGTTTGCATCAGAAGCATTATAAATATACAAGAAATGCCACATTTTCACAAAAGGGAATAACAGTTATTATATCAGAGTCAAATAGGACACGACTAACACAAATTCAACAGCAAGCTTAAGAAGCATATTTTGAGGTTTTAAGGCTTTCACAGTGATATATTGAGACTTACATATTCCTTCTTTTGGATGACAACACCATATGATAGGCTAGTTTGCATATGTTGTGGACATACTGCAGTCTCCAAAACATATAAGAACTTTTGTTAGCATGTCTGTGGGAATGAATCATTTTCTCTGGTGGAAAATCACAAACACCAATGATGTTAAGATTGAAGACAAGATTTTCCTTCACTGATACTGTTATATGTAAAAAAAAGTTTAGGGCAGATGAGGCCAGTTTCTATAATATTACACCCTTGGTGCATGAAGTATTAAAGACATAAACTTATGTGATGTAAATCAGGGCATAAGAAGTACAGTATTTCATTACTCTTCTAAAAATATTTCGTGTTCATGACATGTGCACAAATGGAAAACCAGCCTATTGCTGTGTAATCACAGAAACCTGACTTCAAATCATTGTTCTTGTGTAATGCTTTCTGTTGGTGGAGCAATCATACTGCATGTTTCACAGTGCTATCAGACAGTGAAACCAACTAGCAGCACATGAGGGGAATTAATATTATGTTTGTCCATCATTTTTCATTGCTGCCAGTATTACATTTGTAATCAACTAAAATTTCTCTAATATTTTGTTCTGCCTGACAGTGACATCACTGTGTGTGTGTGTGTATATGTGCAATGAAGTTTTTTTTTTATTTTTTTTTTCATCCTATTCTGTTATAAATTGGGTTATTGGAGCCATCGACACAGTAGTTAAGTAAATGAAATTTTAATAAAATCAGGTAAAATCAATAAAAATTTCAATGGTTTAATGAATTTATTGCCTCTTTCAGCCACTACATGATTTGGTCACATGAACCATTGTCATCAGGATTTGTAAGTAAATAAATACAGTATATTATTATTGAATTGCAGTGTTAAATGAATACATTTTTAACAATAAAAAAGTGTCATAACAAATTCTTGTATTAAGTGATAAAATATAAATTATGGTAGTTTTATCATATTATGATTTTGTCACATGGATTTGTAGATAGATAAATACCGTACATTGTTATTGAATTTCGGACTTAAAAGAAATTATTTTTGCAGTGAAAATTGCTTAAAATGGGGTGGATGAGGTATAAGTTCTAGCTTCACATTGTACTTCATCTACCTTTTTATCACATTGCGGACCGGACGGGCCATATGGCCCTCTATGGTCACGTTATGTTGCAAAACGCTATATATCGCTGTGTGGCTTCGTTGAATCGTAACTACTGCGTAGATGACCTTGGGAATGATTGCTGCCTTATCTAGTAACTTGACCAGCGTCATTTCCTGTCACAACCTAAACAAAATTGGCTTTGTTCTAATCCAATCTTGCAGGTATGAACCATGCAGCTACCAGTTCAACATGGCTCAGAGACGAAAGCAGTTGCGATCTCTCGGAGGACAGGAAATATTAGATATGTTCTCCGATGAGCTATGAGATTTGCCAACTGCTTCGTCTTCTGATAGCGAGGCCATTATCAGTGACAGTGACAGTGACAGTGACGGGGACCACAGGGCTGCCCAAAATGTGTCAAGTGAAAGTGAGAGCTCCGTTGAAAGTGCGAGTGTCAGGACAGCTACATGGGATAAAGTGGACAAAACCCCCACTTTGGGAAAGTTTACTGGTGATCCGGGGGTGAAGCAGATGCCATCGGACCCAACGGACGTGTCTGAAGTTGCGTCACTGTTTTTTGGAGATAGTTTCTTTGACGGAAGGGGGACATTCTTCTTCAGTCCTGGAGGGATACTCACGTTGTGAATATGGTTTCCACTATTCACAATTCGAGCATGGTCGATGTTAAAAGACGACATGGGCAAGTAAAGAAGCCTCTTTGTATTTCCGAGTATAATATGTTCATGAAAGGAGTTGATAGGGCCGACCAGTTCTTGGCCTATTATTCCCTTCCTAGGAAAACAGTAAAATGGATGAAGAAAGTTGCACTGTGGCTTATAAACTGTGTAATTTTCAATTCATTTACGGTTTTCAAAAAGGTGAATAGAAATTCTACTTTGAAATACAAAGCATTTCTGTTGAAACTGGCAAAAGCTTGGGCTACTGACGTCACGGTGGCGGCAGTACCTGCGTCAGACACAGACGTAGTGCAGCCGGGGCCATCTGTTCGCACCCGCCAGAGGCCTCAAGTAGACCCCACTGGCCGACTCTCAGGTGATATGTGGAAACATATTCTTGTGAAAATTGTGAAGAGTGAATATTGCAAGAAGAAACACCCTTCTGGGCAGTGCCGTGTGTGCGCAGAGCACAAGAAGAAGAGTAGAACTGCCTACATGTGCAAATTCTGCGTAATGCCTCTTCACAAAGGGGAATGTTTCCAGAGATATCACACGCACAAGCACTTCTAGGAGCTCTGGTAAGTGTTCTCCAAAAATTTCAGTTCGTAAAATTAATTAGGAGATTTTATATTAATTTTTAAAGTGAACAGTGCACAAGTTAGGGTAGTAGATTTAAAAACGCCAGTCCCCAGGGTGATTTAGATGTTTAAACCACCGGTCCGCAATGTGTTAACAGTTTAAGAAAACCATTATAATTTAGTTTTTAGCACTTAATACAAGAATTTATTAGTGCTAATCGTAAAAATGGATCCATTTAACTCTGCATACATATTGCATTTATTTGTTTATTTACAAATCCACTTGATGATGGTTCATGGGACTGAAACATGTAGTGGTTGATTGAGGCTATAAAATTGATTAAACTTTTGATATATTTATTGGTCTTAGTAAATGTTCAAATTTAATTTACAGCAGAGTGGTTACTCAAATATGCAATATTTTATATTACAATTAAAGACTTTGAAGAATCATAATTTTTTTTTTAAACTGCAGGAACCTGTATGAATTTATATGGTCTTCATTTATCTTCTAACACATGAACAAGTATACCTACAGAATTTGTAAACATAGTCATGACTTTCAACTATACCAATACCAGATTTCGCTTGCCCAGCCAAAATAGCTCACAGTGTACGAGGTGTATTGGAAAGTTCCTGGACTAGGTCAAAAGAGAAATGCTGACATAACTTACTCAATTTTGGCTGTCATCTCCTTCAAAATAGTCTCTTGGGAAAGTATACCGCTATCCCATCGTTTTTTCCACACTTCAGAAACACTGTGGAAGTCATTTTTCTTAGTGCTGTTGAGTACTGCTTGCGATTCCCTTTGGATGTCAGACACTTTCAGATGGTGACCCTTCAGTTTCATTTTCAATTTGGGAAACAAAGTGAAATCACAGGCGGCTAAGTCTTCTGGGTAGGGAGGATGGGGAACAATAACCATATTGTTGTTAGTTACGAACTATGGTTTTCAGGCACATGTAGGCGGGCGCGTTGTAGTGATGAAGGAGCAATGCAACACATGTTCAAATTTTCTGTTAAGATCTGGCAGATTCCATAACCGATCCCAATGGTGTCTGCTAGCTTGTGGATTGTTTGGCGACTCTTCCTGGATGAGTTCTCAAAATTTTTCAACATATTCTATGGTTTTGCTGGTGCTTGGTTGCCATGAACGTTTTTCATCTTCATCTGACACTTGACCAACCTCAAAACATGAATGTCATTCAAAAACCACTGTCTGGCTTAAAGAATGTTCTTCAAAATCCTCATGAAGCATTTCAAGGGTTTCAGTAGCAGATTTACCGAGATTCACACAAAACTTGATGCAGACATGTTGCTTGATTTCGCCATCCATCACAGACAAATTGAAAAAAGAAGTTGAAAAAGCACTCATATAAAAACAGTGTGGTGTCACAAGGCAGACTGATGCAATAGGCTTTTGGAAGTGTGACCTTGGCTTCACCTTTCATCTTTGACCGAGGCAGTTACAACAGTAACAGTCTGTGAACTTTCAATTACCATGTCAAGAATCAGATGTTCCTGTGATTGGTATGTGACCAATTTTCATTTATCATGAAATGGCTCCTTACCCTATTTTTACATTTTTAAAACTTCACCATCATACAGAATTTCAAAATCACACTTTAGTTGTTATGACATTTACATTTACAAGGCCATCATGCTGTACAGTTGATCAAATTATATTTGAAAATCTAGCCGTAGAGTACCTTCTTTTGTCACAACTTGATGAAAACATCATGAAAACTGTGTTGAATTGTTTTAAGGAAGCAGGCTGGGAAGCATAGTTGATCAATGATACTCTTTTTTTTTCGGGATACAGGGCCAAAATATTTTGATTTACCACATTTTATGACATTTAGAAAAAATAAACTTTAAAATGGAGGAGNTGAAGGATGTTGGCAGATGAAGTTGAGTTATTTTGCTGAGGTCAGTGTGGAATGGAAGTAAAACCTGTCCTCATATTGATGTTGCAAAAAGTTATCTAAGTGCCAGTAAGAAAATGTACTGCAGCACTTTTTAAGTATTTAATTTTGGGAAGAAAAACCTGGACTTATATTCTAGAAGAAACACATTCATCATTGTAAAATGAGTAAAAATGGCAACAGTGCCATGATTGGAAATTGTGTAGATCAAGATGCTATGTGGTCTAACAGTTAACATAAAAATATAGCAGTTAAGGGTTCAGGGTTCAATCATGACTATTTCCACCATTTTTAAAAACAAAAGATCACAAAAATACATCTCACTACAGTTACACTGAGTGTATAATGAAGACCAAGATAAAACCAATTCTCAGAACATTTTATGTACCAAATATATTTCAGACACTATGCAGTTTTTGAAAATAATCATGTAGTTGTTATTTAAACTTGACTAAAATGATAAAAGTTGGGCAGTTAATTCTTTTTAGCATTGAGCGTTTAACATTTTTAACATTTATTTGAGCGTGGACCTGAACAGGATACAGGATCAAAATAAGTGGAAAAACGAATGTGATTGCGTGTGATTGTAAAACTGTGTTCGTACACGTGAGGATGACCTCTTGAGGTTGAAACATGTAGTGTGACAGTAAATAAAAACGTGTTGTGTGGTTGGTAAAATTAACTCTAATATTCAGTTAATTCTTTTGTTTCCATAGAAGAGGCAGGCAGTAGCATCACTGTTTTGGAGTTCAAGTTAGAATTGAAGTAGTATTTGCTAGTTTTAAAGTTTCTGATCGTTTAAACTTCTGTGTAATGTAAGATAGAATGATGTAGAATTGAGCACTTCTTTCATGTGACCTATATTAATACTGTGTGTGTCTATACCAGCAACAGTTCCTTATTTAAATGTTGTGTTTAATCTCCATACTATTAACATTAAAAAATTAAAATGTCTTTTAATGTGTCAGAGTTTTTACAAAATCTTATGAAACAGTAAATAATAATAAATCAACAACAATAACAATGAAGAACTGAATGCTTTGGTTTTCAAGGAATTTGGTATTTTGCATTGTGTGAATGGGGCAGTTGTTCTGTCTTTGTTGTCATATGTATCACTGTTATCAACATTTGCCTACAAAGCTTATCTCAA